TCTAAAGACGCGAGGCTTAATCCAAAATGTAAAATGTAATGAAAGAAATGTAAAATGTAGACACGTTATAAAACAACATTTTTCAATAAAACATTCCCTTCGACACATTGCAATTGACTTTTACATTTAACTTTAGCCTTAGAGGCATTTCGACTTTTCATTACCGGCATTAGGACTTTGTAAATTTTACATATAAAGGTGTGGGCTATTGAATGTTATCGTCCATGTCTCTTTATGTGTAATACATGGTCGTGGTGACCCACGATTTTGTATGAGGAACAAGATCCCTTCCGGACCCCTCCAAAACAGTATAACAGTATATGTGTGTGTGGGGAAGGGTGAAGGTCCCTCCCAGTGCCGCCTAATAATATTGGGCTGTGTGGAACATGCTAGAGTCGATTTGTAGAATATCTGACCCATGGTATATGTTTGACACTGGTTAAGCATCATGATTATGATTATAATGTTGAAAACCGTATTGAAACCGCATGACAAAGAAAACACGGATAATTACACTATGATGAAAAGTCTTATATGCATCTAAATACGAGCATTAACGAACGTCGCTCACAAATAAATTGTCAAGAAATGACACTTCAAAGTGATGCCCATATATAAATTGAACTTTAAAGCATAGGGGTCATGAGAGGATGAACTTTATCGATTTTCAGCGTTCCACGACTTTCCGCAAACGTCCACGCGATACAAACTACGTCATATGTAAAGATGCATTATGTAAGAGCTAAATCTGAACATTGCAGGTTTTTCTGTAGGCCTTAAATTTTATATAAATTATTATTTAGACATTTAATAACAAGACAAGCCTAAAATCAACGCCCTGGGCCAGAGATATAAACGGATCTAAACATCCGCGAGATTTAAAAAAGAATAGGTTAAGTTTTTATTGCCAAGTACCGTTTCTACGATAATGACCAATCTATGCTATATGTTCAAACAGTCATAACTTCGCTCTGAATAAAGTACTGTAATTTGTATGCAGGTTTCAATATAGTAATTTTTCATTATCTACATTGGAATTATTATATTCAATATCTGTGTATATAACTTATTAAATTTTATATGATTTTCGACATTATTTGATAGTATGTACATATCAGATCTGTTTATTATATGTTTTATAATCTTTGTATGAGGAGAGGGGTGATATAGGCACTTAATCCAGCACTTAATCTGAATCCTACATAATGCATCATTAGTTATTAAAAAGACTGCTAATTGTTTCGCTATATTCGTAAACTTGAATTACACCCGACATTTATTGAAGAAAATATATTGTGAAAAACAAACAATTGTGAAAGTTAATGTTTTTTATTACAAGTGTTACGATATAATAAGCACAATGAAAACAATCAATAAAAGTTACTAATAAGCACAATGAAAACAATCAATAAAAGTTACTAATTTACTAATTACTAATTTAGTATGGGCATATAGTAGGGTCAAAGTAATGAAAAAAATGGGCCAACCTCTAAAAAAAATTTGCAAGAATACGTTTTATGGTTGTTTCCTGTAGTATATGGTCTAGACAACAACATATCAAAAGTTGTCTGAAATTGAGCTACGGCAAATGGTCCAAATATGACGTCAAAAGAAAGGGCCGCCATTTGACCAAAATCCTTTTTTTCTGCTCATATTCTATCAATGCTATTGATGTAAAAGGCTTAGGTGTAAAACAATGCTACTATAAAACCAGTATCTTAGTAATTCATCAATCTGTGAGTGTTGTGCAGTGTTTCCAAGTGACGTCATGGCTTCATAAGGGGTCGTTTTGACGTTATGACGAAAATTGTTCCTTTTTGATGGTTTGTTAGCCATTTCATTTGAGGTTGTACATGGATGGATAGCATAAATGCGGGCAATTGCTGCAATAGAAATGCCGACGACGATTTATGGTCGGTCTCGACCTATATTATCACCCCCAAAAAAAGTCACAGTCCGAAATCCGTGCCAAAATGGGTCACATTGGCCAAAATTCAAAATGGCCACCGGTTTGAGCTGGTAAATTCAAATTTCCACCCAATTATCATAATATGGTCAAGTTTGGTATCAAAATAAACGTTTTGGGGGTAACTGAATCCATTTCCATACATACTTTTGTGTTTAGTGTTACCGCGGAGTCAGTATTTGGGGTTATTCAAGATGGCGGACAGTTTTTGCGGGAAAGTTCGAATTTTACATAAGGATCAAACTTGGTGTCAAAATATACGTTTTCGAGGTAGCTGAATCCATTTTTGTACATATTTTAGCGATTAAGTGATTCCCTGTGTCAATATAGGAGAAATTCCAATTAGGGATTTAGATTACAGATTAGGGAATGGAGGTTAATGATACACCTACGTTAAAGCTAATACAATGACATTCATCGAGTATCAACTAAATTTCTTTTGGAGTGTCGCCCAGCTCACTGCGTTAGCGGCGTATCGGTATGTCAACTCTGGACACTCCCAGGTCACTGTCGAAGCTGATCATGTCTATTGAAGCACTTTGCTAATTTAATTGACAAACTGATTCAAATGTTGAGACACGACGGATACAGTATCGCCTGTTTGTCATCATCCTCGGTTACCCAGTGTACTCATTCCGTTCTACTCCACTATACCCTGGGTTAATCCATAGGGTTTCCACGATCTCAAATTATCTGCCCTGGCCTAGAATGTAGCTACAGTCTACGAACCAATCAGAAAACAGTTCAGTTTACAAACCAATCGTTTCGCCATCGTTTTTATGTCCATTTACTAAATGATTTATGTAAATAATGTATATATTTATAATTTATTTATATTTAATTGTATTATCAAAATATGTAGTATCTGTTGTTGATTTCAAATATGTATAACACCTATATGTTTGACTTTTGTTATTATTATTACTATTCGTTCTTTGTCTGAAATATGTCATTCTGTTATGTTTATTATTATTGAACTTATACTTTGTAATTTGATTCACAACAACTTGTCTACGATATCACGTGGACATAAAATTCTGGGAACGAACGAACGATTCTAAATAAACTAATGACCCTACATTATATGAACGTCTGGTCTTCATTAACATAATATATAATTGGTTGTTAATAATTACGCATTTAGACTAGGCCAACTCCTAACATTGTCCGATGAGAGTTACTTCCCTTTGCCAACTTCCTTTTCAAATAACAATTTATTGGATTGGTCGATAAAAATAGCACAATCATCAAGGGCGGATAACTTGAAAACGTGTCTCCCCATAGATTAACCCAGGGTATAGTGGAGTAGAACGGAATGAGTACACTAGGTAACCGAGGATGGTTTGTCATATATGCAGTGAACTATTTGAAAATGATCTGCCCAACACTATTTCGGAAATAACGGGTATTGGGAGCGTCAATAAGGCGGCTAAGCTGGGAAATAATGGTCGTGATTTCAAGCTCGGTGAAAAATATTATGTGAAATGTCGCAACTTTCACTATTGCACAATGTTGTTACGCTATTTAAGTGGAGGTGCCTGTATCAAGGTCTAGACGGTCCGATGTGCAATAAAAAAAAATGCGTACCGTTGTCTTTTACATGGTCTGTAAGAAAGACTAGCAGACGGTGCATTACAACAGATATAACCGGTGACCGCTGCTACAACGCCTATTTTTTTGGACATGCCAAATGGACATTAATTTTATGTTATCTGGTATTCCTAAATAGATGGCACTCATTAATTACTTGAACACCTAACATATTTATAAAGCATCTAGCATTGAAATTGTTCATCACTCTGTGTAACTCTCATTGCAAAAACAAAAGAAACTGGAAATGGTTGATAACGCTCGAATCCGATGAGATTTCCTACCAGGGTAAAGTGTAGCGAGCGGGGGTGGCTATGAATGCAATAGTATTAGTTCGAGGAATGGGATTTCCACAAATTTTGACCCAGGGGAACCAGTTAATTACCAAAATGAGTCGAAAATGGAATCAGCTGCCTCCAAAACGTATATTTTGACACCAAATGTGGTCATGTTGTAAAATTTCGAATTTTCCCGCCAAAACTGGCCACCATGTGGACTTATTTCCCAATATTGACTCCGCGGTATAATTATTCACCAAAATGTGTATGGAATGGATTCAGTAGCCCCGACAGGATACATTTGGATACCAAGCTCGATCAACCTGCGACCATTTTGAATTTTCACCAAGTGACCCATTTTGGCACGGATTTCGGACTGGGACTTTTTTTGGTGTTAATATACACAAGACCGGACATAAATCGTGATCGGCATGCCTATTGCAGCAATCGTCTGCACTTTCGCTATCCATCCATAACGTCACTTGGAAACACATCACAACACTCACAGATTGATGAATTACTAAGATATTGGTTTTATACTAGCATTGTTTTACACCTAAGCCTTTTACAACAACATCATTGATAGAATATGAGAAGAAAAGGGATTTTGGTCCAATGGCGGACATATTGTTTGACGTCATATTTAGACTCTTTGCGATAGCTCAATTTCAGACAATTTTTGATGTTGTTGTCTAGATATGTTGTTGCCTTTTCTTGCAATTTTTTAGGGTTATTCTGCAGTTTGACTCTACTAATAGGGAATTAAACGTACTTATATGTGGTAAGTTTATAATATTTTCGATGCTGGTTTTAAATCGTTGATAAAAATTCGCAGGAAACAAAGTACTAGATTTATACACTGGTGGTCCCCGAGATGTGGTGTTCACCTTTTTTGCATTCTTTAAAAAGTTGTATTGAACGTGGTAATCACACTCTACTCGGTGTTAAATATTATATACAAGATATATATCGAGATAATTGATTAGGACTATTAAGATAAACCAAAGTTATTCCACTGGTGGTCGACAATTTGATGTAAATATGTGACGTAATTATATACAGGATATTGAGTTCATAAAATCTGTTACAGAGTTATACCATAACCTACTCAATGTTAACTCATACAAGACATATACTGGGATAATTCTTTATAGGAATATTGAGATAAACTAAGTTAAATAACTGGTGATCACAAAAGGTGGTGTAACTGTATACAGTATATTGTATACAATCATTCAACCACATACCAACAAATTGAAACCAACTATATTCTGGTATTTATATAGGTGGGATCTGAAATATCGAATGTTAAATTAATAAAATAAAATGTTACTAATATTGTTTACGTTAATTGTATACAATAACTGGTAGTTATATTTATCCAGACGGGTAAGCATACCAACTACATATTTATTACTGGTTAAATTTATCCAGATGGGTATATAAGCATACCAACTACATATTACTGGTTAAATTGATCCAGATCGGTAATCTCATACTAACTACATATTACTGGTTATTACCAACTCTAATTTTAGTACTAGGCCTAGAACACCTCCAGAGGACCTTTCTAATATAATGCTATAGTTTTTAAATTGTTAAATCAAGCTGATGGACTACATGCATACTGCCAAGTCCAGCTATCTGAATCTGTGTAATACTTTGACGAAGATATGCAAACCATCAATTTGCATGTAGGGTTGGGAATTAGTTCCATATTCCACAATGGAAATGTAAATAGATAACCATATCTATATACTTGGAAAGGTCATGGTAAATACAAAACAGAGCTATTTACTGGCGACGAGGGAGAGTGAAATAGAGTTTAGCGTTCACTCGATAAAAACTTGGTCATTTCGGGTCTAAAATAGGGTTAACTGTTATTTCAATAATTCGCTTGCTTGTAGGTTTCTTTAGCAGTCGAAGGAAACTGGGAGAACGGGAGAAAACCCACAAAGATAGACAGGTAACCATATACATTGTTACGTACAAGTGTGGGATCGACACGGTGTAACTTGACACCGTATGATCTAAATTGCAAGCATTAGATCATTCGACCGCCCCCCCCACCCCCGATATATACTAAACGTCCATTACCTCCTATTCTGTTACTATCTGTATTATCAACATTAGTAGAATTCTGAATCAATTCTTGATATGTTCCTTCAGTTGGATTTCTTTCACTAACTTCTAGACCATCATATGTCGACACTATTTAATGAATGATACATCTGTTAGCATCTTTATATTCATATATTACATGCCGTTTATCTATAATGATTTCGATAAAATTCAACTGTTTTGGTTCAATTGTTTACACCTCTAATCTAAACATATTTTGTACCGACAAGTAACATTTGTAAAATTATATTTTAGCTAAGTGAACTTCTTAAATTATTACAATAGGCATTGAGTATTTTAGTTAATTATAAACTACCAACTGCTCAGTCTGACAACCTTACAAGACATTACATAATTTAGTTAATTATAAACTAACTTTTCAGTCTGACAACCCTACCTACATATCTTAGAGCATTACAAGAGTATACTCCCACTGCTTGTTGATTTTTCGTCTTGCGACATGCAATATATAATGGCATCCGTGTTCAATTTAAATGGCGGCAAAAATAACGTTTTCCCGGTGGGGTGGGATATGTCATTATGTTGACATAAATTATTATCATAAAACATAAATTTCTAGGACTGCCCATTTATAATTAAGTGTTTATGATGCCCCTGGACAACTGGTTTGATTTGTGGCGAGGTGGGGTTGGTGGTTTCACGTTTCCGTGTGTTGGGGGGAGGGGGAAATTGACGGGAAATGTGTTCACGTCGATTTAATGATGATTCTCTTAGAGCTCGATGAAACATCTCTAAATATGTTTATAAGGTTCATATTGTGTGAAGCTGGGCGCCGGGATGGGTGACCATGGGTGGTGGGGGTGGGGCAACATGTGTTTTTGTGGACCGAAATCATTTGGTTCAAAATTGACCGTAAAAGTTTAAAAGTCGTTTCTCGTTAGCATTTTCGTTCAGTACCTATTTCGTCATTCAATATATTACATTATAGTGGTACTTTTCAAGAGATCTGGAAATGTACATAAAAAAACACAGTAAATCAGAGACATGTTTAGATATTAATTTATTCTTAGTCTTCATCAGAAGATTCAAAATCAAAGTTCATAATATGAGCATGATAAATATCTTCTTGGTTGCTGACCAACAGCTCGCATATTATATCCTTTGGATATGCTTCAGATACCGATTCACATTGTAAATCTTCATTCGAGCCATACAGTAAATGGTCACTACGGCAAGGTGGTAATAAAGAAAGGTCTGTTACTTTTTTCGCGATATTTTCTACCTTTGCCCTGTTTCATTATCGATACAAATGTGTATATTTGGATCATTGTTTGCGAGGAGGAGGATTGGTGTGTTTATTTCGCCCGAGCAAGAACGCAAAATACAATTTGTTTCATCACCTCCATTAATTTGCAATGCGAAGCTATTTTGGTGTCCTCGTGGCGTGTTGTCAGTTCTAGGATATTCTTGACACTTTCAACACTAACCTTGATATATTTTTGTTGATCCAATCAATATCTCGGCCTACGTGCTTTCAGTTGGTAATGACTATCTGTCATTTTTTTCAAACTTTCTAACAATTTTTAAAGACAAATGATGTTTTTGATGGCGTAATTGCTGGTATAGAAAAAAAAATGTTTGTACCTTGTACGGCGAAAGGCGACTTACATCAGTAGATGAAACTAGAATAAAGGCTTTCTGGAGGAATTTTAATTGTGATGAAAAAAAACAAACCTTTCTTTCTTTATTACCATCTTGTGTGAGTGGTCTTTTGCCGCACATTAAACGCAACAATATGACAGAACAAGATGACCCTGCGATAAAAGGCTCGAATGAAGATTTACAATGGGAATGGGTATTTGAAGCATATCCAAGGGATATATGCGAGCTGTTGATTAGCCACCAAGAAGATATCTATCCCGCTCATATTATAAACTTTGATTTTGAATCTTCTGATGATGTCTAAGAATAAACTAATATCTAAACATGTCTCTTTTTTTATGTACATTTTCAGATCTCTTGGAAAGTACAATTTTATACTTTCGATGGCCTACACTACATGACCAGTTGTACTTGGAGGTCGCGTCAGGGGTCATAAGCATATCCAAGGGATATATGCGAGCTGTTGATTATCCACCAAGAAGATATCTATCCCGCTCATATTATAAACTTTGATTTTGAATCTTCTGATGATGTCTAAGAATAAACTAATATCTAAACATGTCTCTTTTTTTATGTACATTTTCAGATCTCTTGGAATGTACAATTTTATACTTTCGATGGCCTACACTACATGACCAGTTGTACTTGGAGCTCGCGTCAGGGGTCATAAGAGAGGCTTTTGACCCTATGACGGCAGAGATTAATTAATCAATCAGCGTTGACGTTTCTAGGGGTTTACCCACAGTTCCGTTCAGACTGCTTCATTGGCTAATTTCTCACATCAACTAGACCGCCTGTTATATAACAACTCTTCCAGATCCTGGTGTCGTGAAGACAAGTAAAACGAAATTTTGAACTAAAAAACGAAACGAAATAGCATCTGTGTTTTAATAAGTTTGAACGAAAACCCCAACGAGAAAAAACTTTTCAGGCCCATTTTGAACCAAGTGGTTTGTGTCCCCAAAATTACATATGAATCTAGGAACTGAACGTCCAGGAAATATATTTTCTAAGGTCAATTAGTGAGTTGTACCACCGACGCGTTTTACGAGCAGTGGGAATCCAAAATAAAAAATGCCACAGATTCAACACGGCCCACGCCGATTTTCGAACCTTGGAGATATAGTGCGGTGACTGATATATGATATATCAATATACTTACTTAAACCATTATTATCATAACCAGTCCTAGTTGGTTGTCTGAAACAGGAATATGTGACATGTTTTATACATTTATTTTCTACAATTAATAATATTAATAGTTCAGTTGAGATGATGCCCTTTTTCATGTATATGCATTTCGTTCATACAAAATATTCTAATGTTTTACTGTATACAGTTAATTAATAAGCAATTATAAAACTTAGTGTCAGGGTAGAATTATGACAAAATGTCTTACCTGGTAGTTGAGATTTCACTACCTGAAATAATTCATATTAAATCATTATATAAATATTAACCGGTGGCTTAAATGTCGTTCGCATTCTAAAAAGTTATATGTACACATTTATTTCATAACTAAAATCTGTTTCATATTTTTGTCCACATTCAAACCAACTACCCCTCAGCCTAGATATTTCACTAGTCAGTAATATTCTACGGAAAAAATAATTATAAAAAAACTTTTTACCTTTTAGTAAAGTCTTTTGTATTACCTTTTTGTGACTGTTGATATTTCCGTCGGTAATATATAGTAGATATAATAGTCAATATTGATAAGATGGTTACAAGCGCCAGCAGCACCGATAAACCAACAACAACACCTTCTTGACTTTCGTTTGAGGAAACATTACCTGAAGCAATACAAATAGCTATAAAAATATATTAAAAACAAGAAAGGAACGAGAACTAAACGTGAACAATATGGGTGATTTTTTGTTGAGATTTTGGTGGGAATGTCCATTTGGCTTCACATTCCATCTTGTCATAACTGATCGAATTAATATACATGAATAGACACTGGGTAAACAATGACACCCCTGTTTACCTACCAAACTTTAACGTCTGTACTGTAGATGATTTCAGATACACTGGTTGACTATCACCATATTTATTTCTAGCTATAACTCTAATATAATATGGTGTATCAGCTTGTAGATTATTTATACAATAATCAGGTTTAGATTCTGGTAGAGGTGTAGAACTATTCCAGGTTTTATTATCTACTGAATGTTGAACAATAAATTCCTGTTGATCTCCACCATTAAATCCTGGTGTCCATGTAATACAGATACTGTCATGGCGTATTGCTGATGAGTTGATGTTGGAAGGTACATCAGGCTTAGCTGGAAGTTATATACAAATTATATACACATATTAAACAAAACATTATATTTGGTGGTGACGAGTTGATGTTAGAACTAGATCAGGTTTATCTGAAAATTATATACAAACACGTTGAATAAAGGATAGAGTGTTGTTACGGTTAGTAGATAACTAAATTTACTTATCCAACAATTTGTTTGTTTAGATACAGTAGCTACTTATTTCAGTGTTTGATTACTAGATGTTAAACAAGGATGTCGAAACATCAGCTATAGTCTCGAATCTGTGTTTGTTAATGGAGACGTAAACTTGATATTATTTGAAATACTGACTGTGTTAAGTGAAATCAACCTCTTGATCAACATTATCCAGAAAACCTGAACTTTTTCTTTGATATAAATGACACTGCGTACAGTGATATTATCTGCAATTGGAGATTCCCATTTCTATTTTCTATTAGATAGTTACACTGCACACCTTGAATCGGTTTACAGTCTTATCCTTGTGAATATTACAACTAGTTACCCACTTGGTTTACATATATACAACCAGGAAGTGACGTGGATTGCATATATAGACATTAAAGCCTAGATAATCTGTCCATGTTACTTTCATACATTTTCATTATATTAAAAAAACACCAGAATATGTATAATTAAACGATTTCTTCATTAAAACAGTATCCAGCAGAAGTATAATAATTAATGTACTTACCTTTGACATCTACAGTAATAGTTTCTACAGCTGGATTTTCACATTTCCATTCTCCATTATCCCTGTCTTTAGATACAATAGCTATATTAATAGTAACACTGTTACTAGTTTTACTAACTGTATAGTATATGTTGTAGTTGTATTTTGTAGTGGCTGTACTCGGGTCACCAAATATCTTACATGGTTTAGTTAATATGCAAGTAGTTACAGTTACAGAATCTTTAGTAATTATAACTATCGACGTATTAGTTGTACATGTTAAAGATGCTGATTCACCTTGTATCCATTGATTTGGGTGTAATGTAATACTTGTCACACCTGTAATATATAACATAATAATTAATTCATATTATGATATGATATATTCACTCTTGGTAATGGAAAAAAATAATAACCGAACAAAAACAATAGTTCGCAATTTGAAACCTTAATAAACAGCTAATCGTTTATCAAAGTACACAATATATACATGTAGTTATAAATTGTCAGAATTCGCCAGTGATTTGGCTGTTTCAGGTATTCGTCATAGATAAAGTCAGTTTACATTTACTAAATAGAGATGATGTACTGAATTAAAGGGTAATGTTACAATAATCACAAACATTTTCATTAAATGCTGTATGTTGTAAACTGATATGTTCGTGGATGCCTCATGAACAAAACTAGTATCGTTCAGTAGAATTAGCAGTGAGCTGAAAATGGAATGTGTGTATGTTACTATTGCAGACCCACCCTTTCCATCACCTGCAATGGTGTGGTAAAGTTGGTAGATTAAACCTGCTTAGTTCCCTTCTATAGTAGGGAGCATAAGGATAACTAGTGTTTTCCTTTTGATGCGTCACTTCCTGATTCTTCAAATATTTGTCATTGATCAACCTTAGCAACGATCTCTTTGTTAAAATTATATTTGGAATGTGCTTAACCAGGCTTATCAAATATGTAATATTGACTGACACCAACGTTGTCCTTTAATAATATAAATAATGCCAGAGAGAGCAATAGGGTTTAACTTTCACTCGACACAAACTAGGTCATTTTGGGACTAACATATGGTTCAATTTTATTTCAATAGTGGTATTTAGCAGTTGGAGGAAACCGAAGGACTCAGAGAAAACCCACGAGGTTGAAAAAAGAAAAATGATGAAATAGAATAAACATTTACGCTGAACAAATACAGAAATCTGATTATGTGTTGTCATAATTTATGATTTACATAAATAGCGTTACACTTACAAAATCTGAATTTAGAATCTAATTATACCGTTCTGGTGTTTATTATTTGAAATGAATGTGAAATTCAAGGAAGCTACTCCATCTAGCTTGTTTACTGTGATTATGTTACCTACATTTTACCTTATGTCCGAGTATGTACTGATATTATGTTAATTGAAACATAATAATGTAATAATGTAGACCTACCTTTTATACTACACAGAGACACACAGGTGATAAACAATAGTAAGCCAGGATTCTTCATGATGTGAATATTCCCTGATTAACGTCTACCAGCAAATGACAGTTTGAAACTTCCTTGTGTATAAATAGATATATGTAAAAACAGTATAACATAGATATATGGAAAGGTATCACTGCCAATATTAAATGCTCTGATAAAATATATTTTATATTGATTATAATGTAAAAAGTACAATGTATAAGTCCTAATACCGGTAAGCTTTATTAAGTGGGTGGGGATGTGTGTACTCAAATACGGTTCTTAATACGAAATTCCAAACATCATGAAAAAATAGCAGCACACCTGGCTTAATATATATGAAAAAGATTTGAATTTTGCAAAATAAAAACATGGCAAGTCATAGCATCGTAGACACAGACTAGTCATAGACACATAGAATGACTCCAAATGTAATGGTGTATAAGCATTGGATTCGACAATGTAACCACGCCAGTTGACTCAATGACAGACTTTGTGATACAGCGCGCACACGCTAACCATTCATCCATTGATGAAATGGACTTCGATTGTAACATAATAGTCATGCTATAAACATGATAATATAACCTACCTTGCAGTGTGGGTATTGCTATATTGAGAATTACAATCAGTAAGTAACTAGATGACATGCACATCGGTAACTTGTCTATTTAAGCATGTATGATACAAGTTACCAGATGGTCAGTAATGGAATAAAAGCTTACTCTTCCGGAAACCTGTTACAACTGTTTGTCGTGTATTTTGTACACGGTGGATAGTCTATTTGCTGATTACACTATTTTGGCTATATCATTTTTGTAGGACTTCGAATTTTGTCTAATGGTTTGGATTGTTCATACTTGATTTTATTTTATTGTCTCCCTTTAATCATAAAACGCATGGTTTACATACCATTTTTTAACATATAAAAAAACACCTCATATAACAACTTAACCCCGATCAAAACATGACATAGAAATAGTTCCACGACCGATGTCTTCCGTCTTGCTCCAGCCACAGTAGTTGACCGTCCTAAAGCGCCCATACACGTTCAATTTTTTCGTCAATTGACGAAAACTTCGAGATGAAAGCATCTCTGGAACTACATTTGTAGCTTACAGGGTCAATTTAATTGACGAGTCGTCAATATATATCAAAGGAACTTTGATCCTTCAATTAATTGATTCAATTAAATTGTTTCAATTAATTCGCCGTCGATCTTTTCTACCCACGTTCAATTTCTTCGTCAATTAATTGATATCACGGAAAAACTGAACGTATCTGGGTCGCTTAAGGCCTTCCTTTGAGCAAGTCAATTGATTACAAAAATGTTACTGGCCTATAACTCCCTTAATTTCCAATAACACATACCCCAAACTGTACTGTACATAGCTTAACATAGAAATTTCTGATCAATTTATAATCAATAAAATGGCCACCGAACCAGAATCACGGGGTGTCATGTCACTCGAAAAAAACAAAAAAAAACTGTTCGGTAAGATAAGATTATGATTTCAGTGTTCCGCTCTTCACTATTTGTAACATAATTACTTAATTCCATGCAAACTGTTATGATATGTGTTGAAAATTTTGCAATTGAACCTAATTGTACTTGCTCAAAGCCTCGAATAGTGTATCAATTGCAGCAGTAGATAAGAATTATCACGGCTACAAATTGCAGCTATACACAACCTAGCTACAATCTTCTATGACAACAGAAGACAACAATAATTTTCATACAAACTATTACCAAATTTTGAACGAAGTTAACAAATCTGATAGGTCAAAG